GCAAGAAATCGACCAATCACAGTCGATCGTTCTTCTCATACTTGACTGCGATTGGTCGATTTCTTGCTTGCGGCCTAGCGTCTTGCGTTTTGCGTTCATCGTAGACGACGCTACAGATTGGATTTGCTACTGCTTGCGTTATTGCCTTACGTTCTCGACTGTGATTGGTCGATTTTCTTATGCTTACGTTTTACGTCCTTACGGAATTTTGTGTGTGAAGGCCTTAACGCAAGCAGTAGCAAATCCAATCTGCTGATTTTCTTAAGCCCGTATCAGACTATGGATTGGGATTGGGATTAGATTGAAATTTAACCAATCACAGTAAAGTTTACTAATCTCAAGTTCAGTAACTTTTACTCTGATTGGTCAAATTTCAATCTAATCCCAATCCCAATCCGTAGTCTGATGGGCTTAACGCTTACGTTTTACGTCCTTACGGAGTTTTGTGTGTGAAGGCCTTAACACAAGCAGTAGCAAATCCAATCTGCTGATTTTCTTACGCTTACGTTTAAAGCGTCGTCTACAATAGGTGGAGTAAGCTTGGCGTAAGAAGTAAGAGTAGGAGTAAAGAAATGGATCATTTCCATTTCCTACTCCTACTTCAGCTCTGACGCTTACTCGCGGCGAATTAAAGCGTAGTTCGACCAGTGCTACAAATATTTAAAAAAATTATGTCTATTCTTTAGCTTTTACACTGAAAGGTAAAGGTTAGGTTTTCTTACTTCTTCTCACTCCACGCTTACGCCGGTTATTGTAGACGACGCTTTACGTCCTTACGGAATTTTGTGTGTGAAGGCCTTTACCCCGCGGGAGGAGGAGGCACGGGCGAGCGGGGCGGGGGAGAGGGAGGGGGAAAAGACGGGCCTAGGGCCTTCCGTCGGCGCCCCGCGCGTACGTTGGCCAACGCCGAACGCGCGGGCGGCGTGGGAGGGGTACTTCCGGTCTAATGGCGTCAGGAGCCAAGCACTGTTGTCACATTTTGCCCTACAGTGTTTCAATATTTCGCTTTGTTTATGTCGCCCGCGGGCCCGCGGGACGAGGACGACGCGCCCGGCCGGGCGCGCGAGACACGCCGAACGGAGGTGAGGACGACGGGGCGCGCGCCCTTACGCGCGCGCGGCGCGCGTCTCGCGGCCCTCCGCGATTTTCCGTCCGCGGGGCCCGGGTGCAGTGACCTTGGTCTCGCCTGTCAGTCCTCGGAGCACGCAACCCCCCGCGAAATTCAAACCCCGGCGGCCGGCCGGCCGGACCTTCGGTCCGCGTAGCTCGCCTCCGCGATTGCTCCCGCTCGTTTCGCTTTTCGTCCGAACGAGAAAGCACGGGAGAAAGTGTATTGTCTCGTTAGAACCTGCTGTGTCCGATAAGGGGGGTGGGGGAATTGTTCGATCTTAGCGGTGCTCCTGGTGCTGACAGATTGAGAAATACTGTATTGCGAGTGAATTAAAAGAGAGTCTCTTCGACTCGGGCCCGGTCCCGCCAAACATCTTAGTTTAATTCACGTTTGTCTCTCCCTCTCTCTGAACAGTTGGAAAGAGACAAAGGACGAATTAAGCTAAGCGTAAAGTTGAGCAACGTCGGTGAAACCGGGCCTTAAACTTGGAAAGTTACCGTGTACGCGGAATACTAAAGTGGTGTTTGGTATCGTCACACGATGACGAGGGGATTGATGAGTGGTTAAGCATTCGTCGGCACATTTTGCCCCGCGGCGTTTCAATATTTCGCTTTGTTTGTGTCGCCCGGCCGGTGCGCGCGACAAGTTAATTTTTCGCGCTGGCGACTTTATTTATCCTGATTCTATCACGCTAATATGATTGAAATAGACTCGTTAGTTTTCATCGGCACGGGATAGCGTCGAGAATGCGTTGTGCTATTTTGAAAATTACACTGAATTCCACTGCAGTGATGCTTTGGTAAGTCCGTAAAATACCGATTCTCTCGCGTCGACGAGAGTCACTGTTACAGTAAAAAAACCAACGAGTGATTTTACATACCGTGTACACTGAAATTGATTAGCCTCTATCGTAGATTGTTCTACCTTTGGACTATTTACAGGCTGCGGTCGAGCTGCCGCTGCAAATGCCTGAAAGAGTTTCTCTTCTCTTTCTGTCTCTATTAAAAAAAGAAAGGAGAAGGACACTTCGAAGCATTTGTGGCGACAGCTCGACCGCAGTCGTGATCGCATGGAATTGCGAGACACTGATTTTTCACCCATTTCTTTATGACCCACCACAGACCTGGGCATCTGTAGACCGGTGAAAGCTCTCGCGAGGAACTAGTCGCTAGTCGTTGTATCCAGAATACTCAGTTATGGAAGTGACAACGGAGGAGGCGCAGGCTGTGCTCCTGGACGGAATGGAGGGCGCTCAGTACATCACCATCCAGAGGGCCGACGGGGAGTCCCTGAGCAAAGGCGTGCCGCTGCTGACTCTGAACGGCGAATTGATCTCCGAGGGCATGGTCGTGGACATGATCAATGCTGGCGTTGGCACAGACTACGGCACCGGCACGCAGTACTACGAGGCGGAGGATCTGCTGCCCGAACTGGAGGTTGTTAGCATGGCAACTTAATGTAACATGGCTACGCCCGCACGACGGTGCATCTATACCTTGCATGTAGAATGTGAATTGTGTGATGCAGGACGACCGTACAGGGTCGCTCGCCGCGGCCCTGGTCGTGCAGCTGCATCAGCAGAAGCATCAGCAGCAGCTCCACATCCAGTCGCAGAACGAGGACCCGACTCTGCAAGACGTGTCGCATCTCCAGACCCTGACGCCGGTAAACTCGTACGCCATTCAAACGGTGCCGGAACCGAGCGCCGTGCCGTCCGTATACCCCCCTCTGCAGCCGTTCAAGAGGATCACGCAGAACGTGAAGCAGGAGTTTATCAACGTTAAGAGCGAATACGACGTTGAGGTCTCCACGGAGAGCAGCGAGGACGCCACGTCGGCGTCCGGACCCAAGAGAACTCTGCCGCACAAGAAGCGGATACCGCGTAAGCTGAAGCAGCAGCAGACGAAAAAGAACGCGGTGCGGAAAGACGGTGGCAAGTCGAGTCAGGAGAACGCGGCGATCGAGCCGGTCAGCGAGGCCCAGGCCAAGCCGATCTTCGAGTGCGAACTGTGTAGTTCCAAGTTCAGCATTCAGCTCAAGTTCTTCGAGCACTTGAAGGTACACACTGCAGACAGCGGCTAACCGGTCTCTTCTGACGCACACATGTACCTTTACAAAATAAAAGACAATTGAATTTTTTCTTTTTAGGAGCATTACGAGCCGGTAAAACAGGAGACGCGAATAGCACAAGCGACAAACACTAATATCTCGATATCAGTGCCGGAAACGACGCACAGTCTACAAAATACCGTGATCGAGGAATTTAGTGACCCCGAAGATATTATGGAGGGTATTCGAGGCGTAGGTAAGAGGAAACGTCTTTGCCTATCTCTCTTAATTTCGCGATACAAACTGTAATTGGTTTTCTCACTTGCAGTGGAAGAAACTGGCGCGCATATCGACGACGATACGGACTGTCCGCTGCCCAGTGCTAACAACGAATCGGCCATATGGACCATCACCGGCGTCACGGAAGAGGTACAACAGAGGGACCAACAAATAAGACCACCCGTTAGCGAGAATAAGATCACCGATGAGAAGGCAAAGACTGACATTCCACAGACGGCCAAGAAAAAGAAATCGCCGAAAACGCGAAAGTCAAGTTCGTATCATCCTGTCTCTCTCCCGCGAGAGCTCTTGACACTCTGAAAGTCGAGAGATTTTTAACGATAGTATTCTCTTACAGGTGACGAATTAACGTGTCCTCAGTGCAATCGCTCATTCCACCATAAAAATAGCCTAGTTTACCATATGCGATCTCACAGCGGGGAACGGCCGCATCAGTGCGATATCTGCAGTAAACGTTTCTTTGCTGCTAGCGCGTTGAAGGTAAACGTCGATGTGTTATTCGCGACAAATTTAATTTTACCATTGGCATATATAATTTATTAACGAAGGGGAGATAGCTTGTAGTCACCAGTATTAAGAAAAAATAGAACAGGAAACTTATAGTCAACCTGACTGGCAAATTTTCTTTGTTAATTCAATGTTTCGACCCTATATTTCGGGTCCTTTTCAAGAAGTGCTAAGTGTGACGACGATGACACACTTAGCACTTCTTGAAAAGGACCCGAAATATAGGGTCGAAACGTTGAATTAATAAAGAAAATTTGCCAGTCAGGTTGACTATAAGTTTCCTGTTCTATAATTTATTAACTTCAGCTTACCGCCAAGAAGTGAACTTGGTTATTGTAATGTTCTTGACGCATTCATTCGTGCATACTTACTTCCATCCTCCCTATTTTCATCCTTGCGTGTGGTGACTAATATTTTTAATTGCTTTATTTACTTACTTGTATTTGAAACCTAAATTTAACAATTCTAAGCTTACAATTAGCTTTATTCCATGTTAAATTTTTTAGCCCATTTATACTTTCACTTGTATGGATCTTACATATATTCCTTATTTATACTTTATTAGTCTTATATTGATCTTATATTATTTACATTTCTTCCTCTTTCTTCTCTCTTTTCTCTTTAAACTTCGTAACCTGCTTTCTCTTTCCACCCATAGCTTCCTTATAGCACTCCCTTTCCCCGTATCTAATTCCTTATTTCTTTATTGTTTTCCCCTAATTTCTTGAACCAGTGTGACGTCATACCACATTCCTCTATGTAATGCTCAAGGTTATCCCATCTAGTATTGCAAAAGATACATTTTCTTTCTTTTTCTTGTAGCCAGTATTTATTATATCTTTCCAGATAACCGCATCTCAAATTCATTAATGCTCTAATCTTGTCGCCTATATCATGCTCTCCCACATTACTATCCTCTAAGTCTAAGTATTTGGGTCTACTCCCGTTCCTGTCTAACTCTTTATACCTTTTATTATATCTCGATTCTATTATCCTATTTTCCTCTCGTTGCCTTTGTACCTCTCTATCTCTCCCTATAATTTCCAGTATCGAGTTATCTTTTTCTCCTTTGAAATGTTCTAAAGTTCCTATTCCCCATCCATTCCTGTTGTAATATTTTTCTCTTTCCTCCATATCCAGGTCCTTCTTGCCTTTCCTCTTCTATTGGCATATAAAAAGTCTCTTGTTGCGACCGACAGGTACACAAGAGACTTCACAGCGGCGACAAACCGTACAAGTGCGAGGAATGCGGACGACACTTTCGGCAATGGGGCGATTTGAAGTATCACTCGACGAGTATCCATTCGGAGCAGAAGCACTATCAGTGCGAGTTTTGCTCCAAGCAGTTCGCCCGAAAATACTCACTGATCGTGCACAGACGTATCCACACCGGCGAGAAGAACTACCGCTGCGACTACTGCAACAAAACGTTCCGCGCGAGCAGCTACTTGCAGAATCATCGGCGCATACACACCGGCGAGAAGCCGCATCCGTGTGTGGTGTGCGGCAAGCCGTTCAGAGTACGAAGCGACATGAAGAGACACATGCAGACGCACTCCCGAACGAAAACGAATGACAAACAATCGTTGAACAGAATTTTGACGGGAAAGAACACGGATGAGATGGAGGGCGATAAGGGAGCGCAGGCGAAAACGATTCAGGATCTCGTCAGGGACTTGAAGCTGGAAGTCAAAGCGACGGGTGTTGTAGAAATTGTCCCGCCGGATGACAATCCGGAGAGCATTTTGCCGCACACGGGCGCACAAAACTTGGAATACACCGTGACGTCCACGGCGGACACTGTAAATGTAGACAGAGACCCTCTGGAAGCGGCTGTACGAGCTGCGCCTGATAATATGTAAGTAGAATCAAACCAATAAAATTCATAAAGCTTTGACGTGTAAATCACGAATACGAAGTAATAAAGGATATAAGAACCTGGATGTTAGTGTCTAAATGATTTTAAATTTTTTATTTACTGCAAAAAATTACAATCATTTAGACGCTAACATCCTGTCTTGGCTCTTACGTCCTTTATTATTTCGTATAAGTAGAGACAATTATATAGATTAAGACTCGCGGTCGATGGTTAAAGATTTTTCTCAATTAATCTCTTGTGTTTTTTTTACAGACCATTTTATTTTATGTAATCTTGGAAGTCGTAAGAGAGGAAAATATTCCACTGTACGGCAAGATTGATTATTTTACGGATTTTACGAATATTGACACTCAAAACAGTCTGTAGTGCAAAGAATATATTTGATTTTACAATAGAAAATTGGACGAGTTCGAAGCAGTTATAATTGTATTTTGAAGTGAATATTACGTGCATGATTTTGTAAGACTTTTGTAAGGCATTGTTTCGAGAGCGAACAACCGGAGACGAACACCAATTTAAGATTCGACAAGTAAGTTGTATTAATTAACACACTGCCTATACCTAAATGAGGCGTAATATACTTTCCAGTTTTTAAGAGCGACTAGAGGTTGCGATCAAGCCGCCGCTACAAATGCGAAGTGTTTCTTCTCTCCTTCTTGTCTGACAGACAAGAGAAGAAGAATACATTTTGAAGCGACAGCTTGACCGCAGCCTAAATGATGTGTAAGATTAAGAGAACTTAAATTGTTTCTCAACAACTCCAAGATTCGTGAAAAAAATCATTTATACATACACACATACGTATTATATTGTAATTAACACTAACCGTACTTGTACATTTTTAAAGTTAGGATCGTACAATTGTACAATTTAGCGGTTTATATATATTGTGAATCAACGTTAAAAAATATATTTTTTACTTGAACATGTTTATAGAAATTGGTCCACTTCATTCGCAATCTCCGAATCTAAATATCCGCGGGTATTAGAGTCGGCATGCTTACGTCGGCTTTACCGATGAAAATTTGTAAGATGGTAGCCAAGTCTCTGGATTCGAGGGCATGTTTCAGCTTCGCCGTAGCATCCTTACCGCTGATCCTGTTACACGAATAAGATTCTTAGAATTAGACCATGGTTATAACAAAAGCCCGAAGCCCTTTACCTTCGAGATCGCTTTGCTCGTTCCCAATCTACGTATAAATCGGTAATGATAGCGTGCAGTCTGTTCAGGATCTCCGTGTCCTTCGCCATAAGCGATCTGATCTCCGTCTCCTTCTCCAACAGCTCTTGATACTCGGAACACAAGTTCTCTCGCGGATTGGATTGGAGTTCCCATTCCTCGAGAGCATTGAGAATCTTTATCTTCTGGCTTAAATCGTAGGCCGCACTCAGTCGCGGGAGAATTAACTCCAAGACTCTAGATATGCTTCCGTCTGCTACTTCTATGAGAGAAGATTTCCGTCTGCGATCGTTTGCGACATCAAAGGGAAATGTAACAATCATCGATACTTACCGCAGAATACGTCTAGCTTTATCTTCCGTTTCGTCGCTTCCTTCGTCAAGATATCTCTGAGAATTATGATGCTGGATATATTCTCGCCGAGAAAGAGCGCGCTCCCTTTTCTACAGTTTATCAAGAGGTTAATGACGAATGCGGGTCTGATTTTACGTTAAATTACGTTGACAAACTTACTTGTATTTGCATTTAAGGGCTGTTCCGATAAAGGACGAGATATATACTAAGACAGCTTCACCCTCGTGAATATGAGGTCTCTCGGGCACGTCCGGTAACGCTAAAGAGAGCCACGCGTGCATCTAGAGAGAAGTTCGTCCGAAAAGTACGTGGAAGGCCGTTTTTCTTACGACAAGAATTAATTGGATAAAGAAGCGTACCTCGGCAATAGTGAAATTGCCGTTTAACTTCAATTCGTTAAACGGACCGCTGGACGCGACGTTATCATCCTCGTGCTGCCTGACATGCAGAGATAAGGCGTAAATAGGAACCGAGATTTTTCGACAACGCTTCGGCTGTACCTGCGAATTATCATAGATATTAACGACGTGAATAGGATTCGGTAAGCGACGTGTAAGATACCTGAGACGTTACGTAGATCTGCAAGGTACCCGGCTGACCCTCGATGGACCTCAGTCGCATCTCCAGACGATTCGTATTGATCTGTTTGTAAATTTTTTTTTTATCAAGTTCATACCTTCAGAGAAATATTATTAAAATATAAAAAGACTGTGTCGTTTCAGAGAATTGCATATATTTTATACTTGGCATCGATAAGTGGCAAGGACAAAATTGCCCTCTCTAGGATCGCAAGCGGACAGGCTGACCACCGCGCTATTGTTCTCCGTCTCCAACAGGCTGATAGGCGTGTCGGATTGTATCAGAATATTGTCGATCGACGCGTCTAGCTCCACGGACAGGGAATATGAAGCGTCCTCTTTGTGCAGCGCCATCCTGCAAATCGGTCTCAATTTTAATTCTGATTAATGAGTTTTGTAGAAATAATTTTGCCGCGTTTTACTTATGTTTCACTGCTAGTATCGAGGGTGCCAGAGGGTCCGGCATAAAATTGGCCGATTCCTTCTCCTCATTTAGCTTCTCCTGCAGTTGTTGTATCTCCAGCTTCAGCCTAGCCAGTCCAACGTCGCTCTGTCCCGCCTCCAGCAGACCTGGAGGACTGGTGGTCAACCCGAACACTCGGCCCGAGTAAGTCGTGACGAGGACCTCCGGGTAATTGGCGACGCCGATTATCCCACCCACGACTGTGCTAATGCTCTCGCCAGCGTTCTGTAACGATACGTCGCGAAAGTACATATTGTAATATGATTTAATTTGAAAACTAGAGATACGGCCGCTCACGTAGTGATAGCGTAGAATGGGCGATATATCCTCGTCGGGAAACGTGTACACCTCGACGACTCCGTCCTGTCGACCGACGAGGATATCTATACCGTCTTGTAACTGATGGGTATCCAACGAAGTGATCTCCGAGCCTGTCGAGGTCAGCAGCCAGGTGATTCGGAGAGTTTTGTTGCCCTGGAGGATCAGCAGTCCAATCCTACCGTCCACGGTACCGACCAACACGCGGTCTCTCGAGTATACCTCTCCCTCTCTGAAAACGGGACGAGTAACATAAAGTAATTCACTCGAAATGCTGTGGGCGACAGGCCAATAATACCTGTATATGGAAAGCACCGTAGGAGCGCTCGGCAATCTTAGGACCGTCGGACTGCTCGTGCCATGCAAAACGCGCACCTGGAAAGCAGAGCTGCATTAATTTACATTAACGAGTCAGCTAGAGGACGCGCAAAACCTGGAAGACACCAATTCCACGCTCGAATCTCTCTCTTTATCTCTGCTCAGAAGAGAAAAATAAGATTTCAATCCAACGCAGAAGTTTTGCAAGAGTAAAAAGATATTCCAGGTAAAATCGCGAGCATACAGTGTCAATGGTAATTTTCAAGAATAGAAACGGAATCATAAGTAATCAACTGTTGTTTTCTTAAAAGTACAACTTCTTCAATCGGGACTGCTGCACTTCTTGACTGAGGTCTGAAAAGATGATGCCTTCCAGGTGGATCCTCGAATCACGCTCGATGAAATTTATGTGGTGTCTTACCGCGCAGTCCGTGCAGGCTAGAATAGCGTACACCACGTTGCCGTCTCCGGGCAAGAGCACGACGTCGTGCAAGGTTTCTCCGGCCAGATATGAATCGGCGTCCTTGCAGTCTCGGTATCGGTGATAAAGATCGCGCGCGCACGCCGCGAGATCAGGACCGAGGACGTACCTACGTATTTCGTAATGATAAACCCGGTAACGGGATTGCAAAGCATGTTGAAGGTATCGTCGTGGCGTGAGCTAAGTGTTTAGTGAGCTTACATAGCGGAAATCGGATCTATGAGGCTGGTGTCGAACTCTAAGAACAGCTTGCCCTTCCTCGTGAGTCCCTTCACGGAGCTGGCGTACGCAATGAAAATCTTATCCTTCACCATACCAATCGAGCCACCAAGGACCATTTTCTGAATCTTTGGGCCGGGCAAGGATTTAAACGACAATTGCAGCTCCCCCTTTTTCATGCCTGTTCAAGGAGGGAATAAAAAGGCTTCCATAGAAGTGCATCTTTTTTTGACTTATGAAAGTAACTTAAGATTGTTCCGAAAATTGTACAAAAAATTTCTTTCTCATCTAAAAAACAATTCAGAATTGGTGGCATACAAGTCAAATGCTGTTTTAACTTCAACAACGTTTCTGGAAGAGAAATGAAATTGAAAAAGAATTTATTTCGGGAATTCGAAGGGAATTCTTTTAGGATTCTCTTTAGGATATTGTAACAAAATGCGAGGATATGTATATTTATACCATAAATATGCACCACGCCGTCGTGATCCGCAACGGCGAACTTTTGCGGTTGCCTCGCCGCCGTTGCCTCATTAGGCGGAAATACAATGGTTGTGCCACGTGAGGTGACTCCCACCGTCGTGTAATCCACCCTCGATAGCGCCAACGTCATCGCTGGTTGATCGATCAACTGATCTCGGGGAACTTGATCTCACCGACCAAGTCGACTCGGTTCAAATTGCCATCGCTTTTTAAGCACGTCAGTTCCGTGAGTCTCGGCGCAAAGTGGCGACGAGAGTCCCGAAGCGACGGCGATGTGCCACGATCGATTGAACCATAGCGACGCGCGGCACAACAAACCGAAATTGCGATTAAAATCAAAACGCTGATCGATAAGGACCGCGCGATATCTCCCGAATTTTTTGGTCTCGCGCGTGTAATCGAATTCGAGATCGGCTGTTCACCCCGCGTACGCAGATTCAAAGTCAAATCGAATTTTAAGGTGATTTTGAACCCGGAGTTCAGCAAGTATCGATACCTTCGGCGAACCAGTTCCCCGACGTCACCGAGTCGCGAAAGATTTGTAAACGCCCGTCGACAGGGACGCGACGTACTCTTCGACGATGCATTTGCCTCTCGTGATGCAAGTGCATGAATTCGAACGGTTGTCGATTCCGCGCGCGCTCTAAATCGAATTGAAAATTCAAATTGCTTCGACTCCGAGGTATCGAGAGGTATCGACGGCGAGTCGGGAGCGAAGGAGGCTGGTTTTTTAAATGCGCGACGGTGGGCGTCGAGGAGACGCTCGCTGCGATTTCGGGAGAGGTTGTTGTAAGTTGTAATGCGAGTATCCGGGAGTCGCGCGGCCCGCTGTCATCGCGCACGACGTTCGAGCGGGCGTTGGAAGAGACGTCGGACAACGGGGCCGCCACGCTGAAGCGGCTCGCGGTGGCCTAACCTTTTCTCTCTCTTCTTTTTTACGTGGTGGAAATCCTTCGGATACGGGATCCGGGCCTCGGGGAGAGGACCCGGGTTGTGCGGTGTATCCGCCAAAACCGCCGCGGTGGCGTTGATGGCCGGCCCCGGGTGGCCTAACCTAACCTAACTATGAGCAACAAGACCAACAACAGCGGTTAGTACACGGTCGTTTCCGCGACACTCTTCGCCGCGTGACGGTTTTAAATGACAATCGGGGGACGTGGATTGCAGGGGAGATAGATCCCGTGCAGGAGCAGCTGACCGGGCGGGTGCGGGAGGTCGGCAACTACGCGATCTGGAGCTTGTCCAGCTGCAAGCCGGGCTTCGGCGTGGACCAGCTGCGCGACGACATCACGGAGACGTACTGGCAGTCGGACGGGCAGCTGCCGCACCTGGTGAACATACAGTTCAAGAGGAAGACGACCATCCGCGACATATGCATCTACACGGATTACAAGCTGGACGAGAGCTACACGCCCAACAGGTAGGGACGTCCCGCCCGTTGCTCCGAGGCGATATCAGCGACACCGTACCGGTTAGTTAACGCAGGCGTGCTCTGGCTGACTCGCAGGATAAGCATCAGAGCCGGGACCAACTTCAACGATCTGCAGGAGGTGGAGGTGATGGACCTGAATGAGCCGAGCGGGTGGATAGTGATCCCCATTAAGAACATCAACGATCGGCCCATCCGAACGTTCATGATTCAGATAGCGGTCATTAGCAATCACCAGAATGGCAGGGACACCCATATGAGGCAGATCAAGATCCACAGCCCCGCGCAGGATATTCTTGGCCCGCCAGCGCCCTACATCCCGGGACAATTCCTCACCAATGAGTTCTTACGCTACGCCACTATTAGATAGGACTTGTAAATAAACTTCCTGAATATACATATTTATACATATATATATAAAATTAAATATTATCAACATTCAACATGTTTATGAGCTCTTTCAGTGTCAATCGCTCACTTTGCTCCGTTTGTCTTATTATCGACTCGGTGGAAACGGGCTGGTCTTGTGTTTATCGAAGTATGTAAATGCAAGCGAGAAGTTTCGAGGCTCGCTGTACGTGCTCACGTACAGCGAGACTTGTGTTGGTTCCAGAGTCCGGAATGTACAGAAAAACACTGTAAACACGATGTTGTCGGACGGCGAACTCGCCTTGTGAATCAGTCGTGATCGGTAGCTGTGAGACGCTATTCCGCGTGAATATGTTACGAGAGCTCCTCCTCCCGATCCTCACGTTAATATGTTTAAAACAGTGCGAACCGTCCCCTTCATATTCCAAGAAAGAGCTGTACGCGACACTTGATCGAACGACGGAATACTTCAAGAATCTCAGCGATGGTAAAGTTATTAATTATACCTGGACATAAAAAGTACCGTCCTCAATTACGAAACGTTTTTAGCGTACGACGTACTAGACGGTGGCACTTCGAATAATATTAACAACGAGATTGCGAAATATATGACCGATACGACCAGGGCGATCCTTCAGAGAGGCAAGCGTCTAAGGAGGGGCTTTCGGAACGAGCCCGGTAGAGGTGAGCAAAAAGTTACGCGCGTACATTTGTAGAGAAATCCCACGAGTGATTCAGGCCCGGTCGCGTCGACGTCACGTAACTTTAATTTCAGCTCAACTCGCCCTTTCTGTTCCCTTTAGAAGGAGACGAATTGCGAGTTAAGCTAAAGTCACGTGAATTTTCAACGCCGCTGCTTTCGTACAATCTTATCAATCTGAAAGTTTGCTGAACTTTCCTTCCATCCCAAAAAGCTCCTTGAACGCGTGCTGGCAATCGTGGTCGGTTAGATATTTGAGAAGTTGACCCATGTCGTTGTGGCGCTCGCTGGTGGGGAAGGAGACTTCCTGGAAGTCCGCAAACTTGCGCATTCTATCCACATCGTTGCAGTCCTCCTCTTTCTCCAATAATTTTATTAATATCTTGTGCCAGTTCATAGTCCTGATCTGCAAGAGGATTGCGCAAGTGTGAAATACTCTCGTTACACCGAGACGCGGGAGGGGATCATTGACGACGTGTTACCTTCTGCCAGCAGTAGTCGCAGTCTTCCAGACTTCCCTCCATGCAGATTATTCCCGGCTTGCCGGCCAGGCAGAATCCCGTGATGGCGTTCTCTTTCGCCAAGCTCGCGACATCCCGTCGCTTGAACTTGCTGTATATGTGATGGCTGTAGATCCAATACCTGGAGAAAACCACCGGGGACCGATCTACCGCGCCGCTCTTACTCGCCTCGCTGCGCTTAACCGCTTGATTACGCGCGGAAGCCTCGAGATAAGCCTCGGCGTTGTCCTGCAGCCACGATATCAGCGTATAGATGCAAGGCTCGCCCGCCTCTTGGGCCTTGACGACGACGGAGAGCTCCTTGTTCAGCAGACACTGCTGCGTCCTGTCCAGGCAAGAGCCTCTCGCGTAAACTTCCGGCTGCTCCTTCGGGTAGTTGGTCGGCAGGTTCACCAGTAACTCGACACTCCCCTAGTGGCACAAGCAACGGGTTAATGATGCAAGATACGTGGCTGGCACGTGTAGAAGAGACATTTGAAGCAGAGCAGTTTTCACCAACGGCTTTCACTCCGGTTTTCACCAGCGTTGTTTAACTTTGATCTTAGTTTAAATCATCTCTTGCCTCTTTCCACTAGGACAGTTAGAAAAGGGCAAACAATGAATTAAACTGAAAGGCTCGTATTCTGAATCCTCTTCTATCGATAAAAGCTCCTCTAAAACCGGTTTGCAGCCCATCAGAAGGCGTATTGGTCACTTTTAGAGGCGTTTTTGTCGATAAAAGGGGATTCAGAATACGCGCGAAAGTAAAACGAGGAGGAAACCGCTGACCAAAATCTTGTACACCAGCCCAGTGGGCATTACTGTATCTTACCATCTTATTTTACCTAATTTTATCTTTATGATGCCCCAGCAAGGCCTAATGCCCAAGCTAATGCCTGGTAATGCCCAGTAATGCCGCGAATCTGTACACCACAATGCCCTCAGCGGTTTCCTCCTCGCAAAACGACGTTGGTGAAAGCGCCCAGCAAACACCAGAGTAACATGACATCAATATAAATGTAATATAATACATGCCTGTTATATTACATTTGCATTGATGCTATGTAATTGTTACTTTGGTGTTTGCTGGCCGGGCATTTTAGGCCCGGTCTACAATGAGCCGTTAGTCGTTAGTCAGAAGTCGCAACTATATGTTGATCCTTTTCCTTTCTGGGTGGAAGAAAAAGGACCGACATATAATTCCGACTTCTGACTAACGACTAACAACTCATCGTAGACCGGGCCTTAAAGAAACGACACCGCGGCAACGTTATGCCACAAGTAAATGCTGCATTACACCGTCCAGCGGGACTGCGACAGCGTACTCCAGCCATCGCGGTGGCTCCCGGTCGGGGCACTCGATGTACTCGTTGATGTCAGCCAGAACCCCATAGTCTGCCACGGCCAGCTCGGTCGGATAGACGGACTGGAGTGCCTGCAGCTCGCTCACCTGCGCCGTCAGGCGCTCTGTCACCTCCTCCGGAGCGGACATGCCTCGAACGACGACACGCACGACAGGATCAGTTCGCCGCGCTCGATTCCCGACGACGGTCGGCTCGGCCGAGCCGAGACGATAACGAAATACTGGCGTATCGGCGAGACGTTGAGGTTATCGAGGGATCAGCTGATGTTGACGCTGTCACACAGGCATCCCTGTCGCGCGGCTGCGTTTCGAAGCACGTTGCCGGAGCGCGCGCTTTCTTCACCTTCGTGCCTCCTTACACTTTTTCGTTTTTATCGCCTCGTTCTGAGATTTAGTTTAGAAAAATTGCTCTTGCCTAGTCTAATTTTTGAATTTATTATTACTAAAGCTGCTCCGAGGAGAAGGTGTTTAAAAAACGTAGTCGCAAAATGTTCAAGAATTAAATCGAAACCGAGTGGGATAATGGAACACCTTTATAAGATCGCATAGGGCTTTCAAGTCATTTCCAGGATCTAATAGATCGTAGACAAATATCAATGATATTAAAAAGTCATCTCTGCTATTACCGTAGGTCTTGTCATTCCTTCAGAAGTCTGAGAAACATCATCAGATATCACTGTCGCATCCTGTGGATATATCAGACTGAGAAATGAATTTTACGAGTTCGACTGCACAACCTTAAACTCCAATTTTATTTACAGGTGTGAACGTGCTGAGGGCTTTCGAGGAGACCTTGTCACTCGACTTGAGGCTCTCGGAGACTTCGGACGTTCCAGACACTGCCTTCTTCTCCGTACAAGATGAACACCGGCCGCTCCGGTTCGCAGCCACCGTCAACTCTTCACACATCTTACTCTATCAATTGGTTGTACGTCGGTTACAGTTGTATTCAATCAGATTTTATGCCGGAAATAAGTAACGCTGGCAAAACTATAACATCTTTCAGGATGATCAAGTTCACCTCGCCGGAACGTATCAGCAACCCAATGGCAAACGGATAATCGTAAATAATTACAGCACTGGTACGCTTATAGTCGTGCAAACGGACGCCAACGGAATCGTTATCCTGCGCCTCGGCAAGAACGAGGGCGGAGGATACGAGTTGCGGTTCAAGCAAGAGTTCGAAATACCCGGAGTGGTGCACATGAATACGTGGCTCGGGATGAATCAGCTGTACCTGGGAATCGCGTCGGAAGCGAGAATACTCGTGTACGTCTGGCTTGGAGAGAATTTCGACAAGATCGACGCGCTGCCCTACGGAGCGAGAGGACTCCTGCCCTTCCAGAGCAAGAGCGTCATGCACGTCGCCGTCGTGGGGTCGCTCACGAGGATACTCCGGTTTTCCGTGCGCTCTAACAAATTCGTAGAGATGCAGACGTTACGTCGCGCCAACGATGTCGGTTCGTTTCACTTCAAGGAGGGTCATTTCGAGGAGCGTTTTCTGGTTTTGGCCGGCAACGTGTCCACGATCTTGTACAAGGAGATGTACGGCCGCTTCGTGCCGTTTCAAAGAGTCGCTCCGGCCACGCATATTCATTCCTTGACGATGGGGAATACCGTCGTTCTTCTCTCGTTGGAGCAGGACACCGTTGTTTTCTATCAGTACAACGGCTGGAGATTTCTAGGGTTGCGCACGAAATTATCGAACGTCCGGCAAGTTCGTTCTATACGCTCGCACGACGAAGACGTGCTAGTGGTGCAGAATCAGGCGGGAGAATGGAAGTTCCTGAAACCCACTTGGACCGTGAAGAAAACGTGGGAGTCCTTGCGGGACGAAACAGCCGCTTGGTGTACCGAGACAAAGCGAAAGGCGTCTCAGAGAGCCTCGGTGAAGCTTCCAGGTTTAAAGAGTCCCGTGATTTCGAACGGGCACATCGGTCAGCTTCGCGTGCAGAACGTAAGACGTTGTGTCTTTATTAATTTAAATAAGAAATATAATTTTATCTCAAATCACAATTAATAAAATTTTGGAACCCGAATATTGCCAGATAAACGGTCATAATGCAGACGAATTGGTCCGCTTGACGGAGCGGTACAAGAGTACAATCGCCAAGTTAAACCGGACGCGCAGCCTCTTGGAAGATGCCGAAAGGTCCAGGCCTGTCATTTTGCATGGCAAGAAGATTACGGTCAAGTGCAAGAGGAATTGTCATGTTCACATAATTACGGATGGCGGAATTAAACCGACTGCTAAGTACGTGGAATCGGAACCCGGTCAGATCCTGCAGTTCTCCAATTTGAAAGTACAGACGATAAAGAACTGGAAATGTCCCGTTCCTAATTTCAAGATCGACGATATATTCGTTAAGGGATCTGTTAACGGGATACTGATGCGAGACCTGCAAGAGCGAACTTTGAAAGTTTCAGGAGATCAAGTTATTTCAGGTGATTTAACGCACTGTATTCCTTCTTCGTTACATTCTGATGTATCCCGTATATTACATTTGACATACCGGTTTTAGGTCAGCATTTCTTCAGCAACTTGCATGCGACGAACGTTTCGATTCCGTTAGGCATCGCAACGACAAGCATTGAGAATAGGTACTGGAATGTACACATGAAAGAGGCGAGAGTAAAAGATTTACGTCTAACCGAGGACTTCTTCTTACCGTTAAATGGTCCCACTACTTTAACGAACGGTTTGACCGTTGCGAAAGTGAGAGTTACAGGACTCGTCCAAATGTCCGGCAGACTAACAGGCGAAGGAATAGAAAAATTTAATCCTTTGAGAGAGATTCTTACACCGTTGACAGTGCACGGTGATCGTTTCCTGCAGAACGTGACATTCAGAAACTTCGTCAAAGCTAAAGATATCGTCAGACCTCGCGGGCTGTCCGTGAAAGAAATCTTGGAGAATAGCGTACCGCTAGATTCGAATGTGCCGGCGCATTTGATATTATCCAGTAACAAAACGGTACTTATTTCAAAATCTATATCGATGCGCGTGTATGCACATGTGTTGATTTCAAATTTATTTTACATTTTCACTTTCAGCACTGGAGCAACGTGACTCTGTGGGATTATGTTACCACGATGTGGGTAACGAAAAATTCTGCTGAAACTGTCGTTATTTCTGGTACAAAATCCACGAATAACAGTGTTGTTTTGCCAAGCGCTGTTTATGAAAATCTTCCCGTTCAAAAGTACGCACACTTCTTTGCTGCACTAAGCGTACAAGATTATCTTGGATTTTCTAAAAATGTATACTTGCAGATTGACGATTCCGTTATGTGCTGCAGAAGTCATCAGCCCGGACATTACAACTTCTTCAATAAAAATGGGCGATTTAATTGTAAAAAATTTAAATGTCTCGCACGTTCTCGGAGCTCATAATTTGAATACAACAGTCTTCGATTCGGCGTTAGCTTTACATGACGTTGACTTTTCGGCAAAGTTATTCGCAGGACGAGTCATCGTGAGAAATGTACTAGCGTCAAACATTCAGGGAACAAATCGAAGATGTAAAAATAACTTCGTCTAAGTTTTTATAATGTACTTGTGCTTATATATATATTTATAATATATTATTAATCTATATTATGTAGACTTGAAAATTGAAAAGGACTGGATAGGCATAAACAGCGTCAGAGGACCGATAAATATTGCAAAGCTCGTCGTTAACAATCTCGAAACGCCAGCCTACTTTAATCTGTCTTTACCTAGAAGAGTGAAGAATGTAGTCATAAAAGGGGATAGCGACATTGGAAAAATCAATAACATAAGTATACAATCATTCATGGAAAATGTACTAAAGGTGGACGACCCGATATCTTTAGGAAACGTAGCGTTCGGCAAGTTCAACGTCTAATATTTCCCATTAATTAGAAATGAATGAGAATTTAACGCGTAATCTTCTTTTAATTTTTGTGCAGCTCGTGGTTTTACATCAAGCAACGTGCACGCTTCCCGCTCGACGTTAAAACTTTCGCATTTAGATTCGCATCTCAATTTGGGTCCAAAACGGATTTCCACGATCTTGAGTGCAGATGCGATAAGCGTGCCTCAGACCTTTGGTTACGTCGCGAGCGAAACACCAGCAACATTTACTATACGAGGTACACAGTGACAGGATTTAGTAGTTATATTTTATGGCGAAAAGATTTTAAATGATGTGCAAATATTTCTATTTCAGGATCAGCCAGATTTTTAGAGGAACCAGCCGTAGAAAATATAAGGGATATAAATCTGAAGCAATTATCTGAGAATGTATGGATGGCAAATCAAGATACAGTTTTATCTGGTAGCAATATAAACCTTGAAAACATGACTCTGGAAGGAAATCTCATCCTAACGGTAAGAACATCGATGAAATAAAAGCTTGACTTACTTAAAAATAAGGCAATATTAACTAAAAGTTTAATCGTTCTTCTAGAATGCTAATAATTCGTTGAATGTAAAAGAGTGGTCGGACATGACGTCCAGATTTTTAAGCAAAACGAAAGACCAGACCATCACTGTAGCTTCGTCGTTTAAGAATGTCGAGGTGCCTATTATAAATGCAAAGAGTAATTCAACTATTCGGTCTTCAGATTCGAATTTCAACAATTTGCTGACTAATACGTTGATGAGAAATACGCCGCAAATTATAGATGCTACATGGCACTTTGAAGAATTGTATATAAGTAAGGCAGTTTCAATAGAGAACAACACTGTTGTTTTCTTAAAACCGTCAAAAAGAAAAGATAAATTATTTCTTTTATTCTTAGATAATATGAAGTGGGATGGTAAATTTAATGGTATCGATTTAAAAACGGATATCGTTAGGCGTGACGCAGAAAAGAATATTGTCACCGCGAAGAAAACGATATTGGGTTTGACAACTAAAAATCTCCAGCCATTAGATAGAAACTTTTCGAACTTTACCAAGTACGCTGTAACACAAAGATGTCAGAAGTTGTATACAATTAAGGGCCGAAAGACCTTTAACAACATTACTTCGTCCAATTTGAGGTAATTGACATTTTTGCCGAGGTGACATTCGATATTGCTAAAAACTCAGCTTTTCTCTTTAGCGTCAAAGGTACGATTATGGGTCGCGACGTCGACGACGCGTTACTAAAGTCCGGAAATCAAACGCTATCCGGCACCAAGAGGATACAAGGCCAGCTTAATGCACCGTCCCTTATTATCAATGGCACTATGAACGACATAAATCTGGCGGAGCTAACAAACAAGCAAATGAAAAAACGTAAAGCGGTGCAGACGGTAGAAAGTAAGCTGGATTTCAGAAACAGTTTTCAAGTTTACGGAAATATCACAATCGGCGGACTCTACGAAAGGGTGAGATTGGGAAATATTAGCGATCCAAATAAAATAGACACCGTCTTGAATAGAATGACGAAAGTCGTCGCATTGACGGAAGGCATAACGACCGCATTGCAAAGTAAGTTACATTTAGATCGTTAAACGGCGCTCATCATTGATAATTCGACAAAATGTTATCAATTGTTCCAAATGCAGATCGTGCTATCTACGTGAGCAAGTTTGAAGCGGTGAACGAGGATGCGTTGCAAATCGCTTCTAACATTTCTAACTCTGAGGACGTGAAGTACATGAATCTTAACAGCGCTTGTCTTTGCGAGTCAGAAAATGTTTCCTCGTATTGTAACGACACGAAATTATTGAACGTTGTAGCCGGTACAAATGTCAGTGAGTTTACGACGAAGAAACGGATACTGCTGGACGGTACTGTGCTTTTGGTATTAGTGTCGACAGATTTCGTCTCGATTTATTCCGATATCGACACGGAAGAGTTTCATCAGGTAGCAGGTAAGTCTTAAAGAGAAATATTCTTTACTGTAAAGTCATATTAGCAGTGAAGATTGTTGTAACGTTATACAAAATAATGTTTGACAGGATTATACGTTCCTGATATATTTGAAGTATCTATGGAACCGATTGACAATTCATTGTGGATTTTTTTGCGATTGTCCGAGGAAACCTTGATACTGCGTTATCACGCATGGAACGAGCTCGAGCAATACGTTTTGCCGGGCTCAGATTCGTTTGTGGTCAGTAAGACGCCGAGTGATCAACATCTGCTAATACGATCCGACGGTATGTGGAATCTCGGGGGGCTCTTCGGTCCTGAGCACATTTTTAAAATATCTCTGGAAGGACAAGTAGAGACCTTCACTCTCGATGCTAATTACTATGTCAAAGCGACAACGGAAAACAGTACGATTGTTTTAAAAGCACGATATGTAGGTAACTAGTATACATAAAGTGTTCTTTAGTAAGTTTTCTCGCGGAGAGATGATTCATATTCAGAAAATGTACATTTATAAATACTTTTCTCACGTATATATTTCTCGTTACTTGCAGTAGCTTAAAATAAAAAAAGGGAGAAGAAAATTTGTAGATATTAATTGTATGTGTTAACTGCGTCGAAAAAAAATATATATATTGAATTGCAACGCATCAAATTATTGCTAGTTTATTATCACGAATGCTACACAAGGATGTAAAGAAGCAAATATTACGGAGATCAGGAAGGGCCAATTTTTAAGTTAAACTTTGATGGGTATTACCGTGGAAACTGTCGCCTGAGAAAAGGATAAAAGAGTTTAATATTACCTGTAATATTAGTATAGTAATTAATCATAATGACACGTACTTTCGTGACGTCTTTGAGAACCATGATCTCTTCCAATTCGTGGTTTTTGTGCTCTTCGTTCTTTTTTGTCTCCTCGATTTTGTGTCGTCTCTGAAAATCAGTCACTTTCGTAATTTTGTGACATCACTCGCGTGCTCTCCCTAATTATAGACTTGATCTACGAAACGTAAGAAAGTCGATACGCTCGACGGCAAAAGCGCGTTTCGCAAAATTATTCCGGTTTAGTCTCGCAATCGAATGTACAACAAGATGCGCGTGTACGCCAAGTGCATGACCAGCATCATTCTGCGCATCATAAGCATGATATACGACGGAAACGACACTAAAAGGCACTTGGACTTATAAAGAATGCTTAGGAGCAACGATTGTACGATTGGGCTCTCCGCCCGTACCGGTTCCCTCTTCGAGAACTTCTCCTCGTATCTCTTGCGCTCCTCGATCGCGTTGTTCAGCGCGATCTGCTCCGCTGGCGTGAGCACCAGAAGGCGCGGATCCATGGCGATCCAGTCGCTCTGTACGATCTGATCCAAACGCCAGCGTTTCGACACTTCCGGCTCGAGCAGGTTGGTCACGAGCTTCTTCACGTGATCGGTCAGACTGCCCATCACTTTGCTGCGGAATTTCCACTTGCGCGCTATCTGCAGCTCGTACAGCCGCTTTATATTGTCCTCGTCGAACGGCATGGCCTTGTTCAACAGTATGTAGAGGATCACGCCCAGCGACCATATGTCGGATATCTTCGGGTTGTACGGGTAACCGCGGAGGATCTCCGGCGCCACGTACGACAGCGAGCCGCAGTACGTGTCGCTCAGGACGCGCTTGCCACGGCTGTCGATCATGCAACGAGCGAAGCCAAAGTCCGCCAGCTTGACGTTGTAATTCGACGTGAGGAGAACGTTCTCGCACTTGATGTCGCGATGCGCTATTTCCATCTCATGTAGATACTGGAGACCTGGAAAGTGAATGTGCGTTAGGAAAAGCACCCGCTTAGATATGTCGAGCTCGCACTGGCTTAGCTTATCGTCTTTAACCGCGATTGATATGCTCAATAAGTTAACGTTTCCTTAAGACAGAGGTATCGCGATACCTAAAGCGAGCTGCCGGAACCACACGCGGGCCTGACTCTCCGCCACCGCGCCGTTCTTCAGTATAAAATCAAGCAGATCGCCGTGCTCAGCCAAGCGCATGAATATGAAGTACTTGGTGCGCCTCTGGAAAATGCTGTGAACGTGCACGAGGTGCGGATGGTTCAGCTTCACCAGAATGTCCAGTTCGCGCGGCAGGAACTTGCGGACGAAATCTTTTGGTGCATTCACGGTGTCGATCACCTTGCAGGCCAAGGTGCTGTTCTTCTCCGACTCGTGTTCCGGCTTGTACTCGGCTAAGTACACCTGGAATAAATACGAGACAATTAACTTTGTTATCTGAAGTGCCCGAGGAGAATAATAGAGGTTTTTTAAAATCAGGATACGAACTTTTGCATAACAGCCTTCGCCGAGCTTCTTCATCAGCTTGTAACCCCGGGCTAGCAGCGTGGCCTCCTCGGACGGCGTCTGGTTCAGGTTCGACATGAGATTCGTGGGACGAGAGACGGCATTCTACCCGCCGCGCTACCATAATTTATAATCAACCGTTCTCACTTTGCTCGAACGTTTAGACGCGGATTGCATCGTGGGTACGGATAATCCGATGACGTGGAATCCCCATGCGTATTCGACATAGCGAATAATCACGATCCTTACCGTACCGTTCTATTTCTTGGTTGACGACGACGGCGAATCCGGATACTAGGAATTTTCAAGAATCCGCACTGGCGGCTACTTAACCATTTTGACGGAACGTGAGGTGACACGAGTACCGACGACCTGAGCGAGTCGAGCACGTGCTCGTCGAAAGTATCGAATGAACAATTGAACATCGTGAGAGATAGAAAAGCAAGATAAATTTAATGAAGAAGAGACATCTGTACACAAATATAAAATGGTGAAAATTATCGACATATTTAGTCTTCACGGCTTAAAAAATTTCCTCATCGTATTCTCAATTAGCACATTTTACAGTTCGGAATCGTACTCCAATCGCTTGATGACCACCTTGTATTCCTCCTCCAGGATCCGGTATTCCTTTTCTAGTATCTCCTTGCGCTGCTCGTCAGACGGCAGACCGTTACCGTTCGTGTACGTGCTCTTGTCCGTGGAATTCTTCAACGCGCGCTCTATTTTCAGCTCCTCATTCTGTTTTCTCTTAAACGGTATATTCAGTCTTTTCTTCACGTCTATTCTGTACGCCCGATATTCTTCCGGATTCGCGACATTCGTCGCCAGCAATCGCAGGATCTCGTACACCACGCGGGCCTGTTTCTGTGGACAAGATATTCATACAAGTGAGATAAAGGAGAAAAAGCGGAGGCAATTAAACATGAATGGCGCTTTCGCATGTAGATACCTTGTTTATCTTGAATTTGTTCCTAGCCTCAACGACCATTTCATTGTCGAAACCCTGCTTTAAACGCTTTGGCGCAAAACTGGGCAGTGTGCTGCAGTTCAAGGCGTCAACGTAGTTTCGTAGCCGTTGGAATACCTCGGACGGACTTTCCACTGGAAACGCAGGCTCATTAAAATACAGTCGTTAACGCACGACGCGTCTCTGGCAAATATTCTTCCGCGTTACCTGTCATATCCTTAACTTCACGCCTTCCAATGTACTCGCGATAAATCGCTTGCAACAAGTGTTTGCCAAGACCTATCCTTCGAAATGGTGGCAAAATTAGGAATTGGGCGATGCGCGGCCGAATGTGCTGCGGATAGGCGTAATATCGATACACAGTGGCGAAACCAATCGTCATGTATCGAGTGCTACCAGTAGGCGTGGTATATTTTTCGAATCTATTTCGGGAAAATGTTCGTTTAACGAGGACGTTCGTTGTGTGCAATTTTATTTTACTGGATCGGGTAGCGTCGAGTTGTACTTACAAATTAAAATACTGCCACTGCTCGTCGTCGAGGTCGATGAAAAGAGCCGCGTCTATGTACCAAAGAAGAAACGTTTGGATCCTCTGATGATACTCCCGGAATCCCTTGTAACTCATGTCCGCCTTGTAGACCACAAACTGTCTCGTCGTGCCCTCGTCTACGTAACGCAACAAGAAAATGTATAAGTGATCGTAGCTTTAAAGTTATCGGACATATACAAATTAAAGGATGTTAGATACCGTCCAGCAGGAAAGAGTGTATCAATTCTCCGTACGGTGTGAACGTATCGTCCTTGGCGAGTGCCTTGGTGAAGGTGGCCAAGCTACAGTGAAACTCAGGTGCGAGCTTCGGCGCGATCTTTGACAGCACCTCGTCGGCCTCGACTCCCTCGTGCTTCGCGTTTACCTTCTCCGTATACTCTATACCCAGATACGTTTCCAAGCAACCTGCCGAGTAGAACAGCTGTATTTTCAAGTCCAGATAACCAAATATTATCTCCCTGTAAAGGACAAAGAGAACAAGGATGACAATTTATACATACAAGATATATACAAATAAATTCATAAGTAACTTTTTGTGCGTAGTAACTGACGAAGCGTGAATTTTAATAAATTAACGTAGCAGCGACGAACCTGTCTCCGAACACCTGATAAGTCATCTCCGGCTTGAAGACAGCCTCTTCCGAGTGCAGGTCGTCGAGGTTGCGGATTAATCTGAGCTCCAGGGCCTCGTTGCTGTCCGCCACGAGCTTCTTGAGACGCGCCGTCGTCGAGTCCTCCATTTTTCCGGGGGAAATCAACGGGAGAACCAAGTGCGCACCGGCGAAGCTTCCGAGCGACGTCTTTTCGGCTCCGACGAGGAACTGACCTTGGAAACGGGGATCAACGTTAGGTTACAGTGCCGCGGGGAAGCGACGTCGAGTCCTCGACGGGAGAAGACAATTTACCTGGTGTCGACGTGCGCGATTAGATCAACCGGATCAACCGGTCCAAGACTTTCACATCAATTCCTGACGGCCGAACGATTTGGCGCCAAAACACACGGCGGTTTCGAGCAAAACGATTTCCGAACCGTTTGCGACCGTTTCTCGTTGCGCCTCCTCGATCATCGACAAGATACTATCGAAGACTGACAGCCTTAAGCCTGTATCGGGTTACGCGCTGGAGACTGGAATTTAACCAATCGGAGCGAAACGGATTCAAATCAAACTTATCCGATTGGTCGAATTCTGAGCTTCGTTTCTCAGTCTTCATACAAACTTTGCGAAAGCTTTCGACGATTGTGTCAAAATATCAATTTTACGGTTCATTATCGTCCCGACATTTCGTAAACGTGTATTACAAATCTGAAATATTCGTGTAATAAGTCAGGAATTCAACGCAGCAAGTTTTTAATTCTTATATCGACTGTCGATAACGTCAATGCCCTTCAATTACTCGATAGTCATGAAAGTTCGCCTTGGTTCGCCCGAGGTTGCCCCTCTACAGTAAAACCTCGCGTTTTAATCCACGGATTCACTGTAGACGATTGTAAACGGCGATTTTAAAACGCAAAAGGCGCAAAAGTTACGCGCAGTCGATTACCAATTAATAATCTAAATAAATTAAGATTTCTCTCTTCCTCCCCTGAAAATAATTCTACAAAATTCTAAAAAAAAAAATATATACTGCCAGAATCTAAGAAATTCTATGTAAATTTAAAATGTTATAAAAAAGTCAACATGAAAATTAGTACAAAACTAATAAAGTTTTGTACTAATTTTTACAAAATTGTGCATTTTCGTGAAATACAACTTGCAATAATTTCTTGATTTGCGAACATTGTAATTTGTGGTATTATTTCGTAGATATATTTACAAAAAAACTAAATGTTTCAACGAAGATATAAGAATTTCTACACATTTCTATTTCATATTTTTGTAGTTATTTGTAGAAATTTTTTCCACTAGGGTCTTCTCAGTTTCCGTCGCCAAATCACATTTTATGCGACAAAAAATAGAGACTTCTGCTCATTGTTAGACAAGCCAAGTCTATCTTGATATGATCCTAAAAATGCCGCCGTACTTATTTCCACCTTGGAAACCGCACGAAGGCCTCGAAACGTAATTTCGGAAAACAAATGGTTTCTTCAAAAACCCAGAAACGAATTGCCCGAAGCAACGTATTATTCTACATCCTGACTGAAATCCTGGCACGCGTGAGCTTTTTCCAAGGATGTTACCTGGGAGATGTAAACAACTCTATTAATCCGATTCACGAAATGGAGCATGTCTATTCTCGGGCATTGAGGAAGAAGAAAAGGGGAGAAATCGCGAGAAAATCGTGGAGAACACGGTCGAGGGGGGAAACCGTTCGTTTCGCATGCAGGAGAGACATTATTGTTGACTCTTCGTAGGAAGCTCTCGAGCGAGATGGCCGTGTCCCTGCAAACGCGCGTTTTCTACGGCCTGAAAACTGACATCGCCGGCAACGCACATTACGTCACGGACGCGGAGATTTTGTATCCGGTTGGCAATGCACTGGCGATCCACAACGTCCTCCAGCGTCAGCAGAAGTTGATTCGACTGGCCGACAAGTGTCACGCAAACGTTATTTGCATCTCGCCTAACAAGTGAGCGAACTTGACATACATCGAAAGCACACTTGCCTGTAAAAAAATAAAAAATAAAATAAGGACTCATTCTCCGAATGTGAGAGTGAAACGTTAATTAAAGCGAACCCTCATACTTTTTACTTTGACATAAATCAACATAATGATCGTTAGAATACGAGGATGAAAAACGGAGAGATCGCTTCAGAAGACAGCGGATAGATTTCAATCTTTCTGCTTCTCGCGCATGAATAATTGTAATTAATCTGAAATTTCAGGAAGTACGTTGCTCTATCCGAAGTAGGGGACAAGCCTACGATTTCCGTTTACGACATCAATTCATTGAAGCGCAGGAAGCTACTCGGAATACCCTATGACGCTCCGGGAGTGAGCAGATTCACGTGTCTGGGCTTCACTTTCGACAGTAAGAACCTGGTGGCGATCACCGGCGAGCCCGATCAAACGATGCTCTTCTACAACTGGGAGAAGGGCAAGGTCGAGTCGACGTTCAACCTGGCTAATCCGCAAAACCCGCTGGCGCTCGCCGCGGTGCTGGCCTGCAATCCGTCGGACGCGACGGTGGTGGCGGTCGGCGGTCCTTACACCTTCAAGTTCCTCACCGTCTCGGAGACGGTGTGGCGGCCGTACGGCTTCGCCAAGGCGGAGAACCTCCTCGTCTGCTCGATGGCCTGGCTGGACGGTGACAGGCTGCTGGTCGGCACCGAGGACGGCCGCGCGTTCTACCTGGAGAACGGCGATCTCAAGAATGTGTACAGGATGTCGGACACGGTGTCGATGAACCTCAAGATTCGCGAGGAGTACGTTATGCCAGCGGCCACCGGCTCGCAGATAACGCTGGAGGCCGGCGACGACGTTAGCTGGCAGCAGAACGTGGCCTGCCTGATCGCGTTCCCACGCGGATTCGCGTACTCGCACGGCGCCGGGACGGTGGTGCTCTACGAGAAAGAGGGAAAGTACAAGTACGTGAGGCGAAACGTCTACGTGATTCCGCAGCGAGTGTCGAGGGACGATAACCCGGACCTCTACAGGATCAACACGATCAACGTGAATCCCAGCTTCGACCGGCTGATCGTCACCGCCGGCTGGTCCCAGCTGTATTACGCGACGCTGTGGGGTCCGGACCTGCAGATGGACCCGGAGCCGCAGAAGCTGAATATCATGGGCGAGCCATTGCATCACGGCCCGATCAGCGGTCTCGCCATGTGCGCGTGGAAGCCGATCTTCATGACGTGCGGCGAGCTCGATCGTAGCGTCCGGCTGTGGGATTTCGAGACCGAGAGCCTCATCATGCTCAAGCAATACGACGAGGATATATCCAGCGTCGCGCTGCACCCGATGGGGCTCTTCTGCCTGATCGGCTTCACCGACAAACTGCGCTTCATGAGCATCCTGATCGACGACCTGCTGGCGATGCACGAGATCGCCATCAGGAGCTGCAGGACGGTTCGTTTCAGTTACAACGGCCACCTGTTCGCCGCGGTCAACGGCAACGTCGTGCAGGTGTACACCACCATCGGCTTCTACAATCCCTTCATCCTCAAGGGGCACACGGGCAAGGTGAAGGCTCTTCTCTGGTCGCAGACCGACCTGAAGATGTTGAGCATGGGCGCGGAGGGGGCGATATACGAGTGGGACATGAACACCGGCGTGCGGTCCGGCGAGTTCATCTGGAAGGGCTTCGCCCTACGCGACATCGCCCTTTCCTCGGACGCGTCGTTCGTCTACTGCATCGCGCAGGACGATCACATACGCGAGATCAAGGAGAACGCCGTACGTCTTCGATATCTCTCGTTATTACTCTTCAAATTATGCCGTCGTGTTCCTTTTGGAAACTGGAAGATCTTTCGTTTGTCCCTTGTTAGATCGCGCGAGAGTTCCGATTGCCCGGCAGAGAAATGCAGCAAATGATCATGGGGAAAGATGACCTGACGCTGTTCATAACTTCCCCCGGTGGCATCGTCATCTCGTTGAAAAGCCCGCTTCAAACTCCGATCGAGTCAACGGACTTCCATATGCACTGCGTCGATATTACGCAGGTATTTCTCGTCCTCTAAATATTTACAGGATAATTTACGGAATAAAGTACGATTGCTTTTCTTAATCCGTTCAAGTTTCTTCCTTCCTCTAAATAGATGGAGAATAAATTAATATATAAATTAAATTTAAAAACGCGCAAAATTTAATCAAAATACAAATCGTTTTTTTTGATCGCTTCCTTTCTTCTTAGATCGCGCTGTCTTACAACGAAAACTGCCTAATCTCGGTCGCGAAGGACGGTAGTTTGTGTATTTGGAAGCTGTACTCCCCCGAGGGGCAAGTCATGAAGATGAGCCGCGATCTGCCGTACACGAACGAAGTATTAATCGGTAAGGGTGATTTGGAGGAGAAGATACTCAGCATCAAGAATTTGACGGTGAGGCTGAGGGAGCTGGAGACCGAGCACGCGTACAGGCTGCGGCAGATCGACGTTCAGCACAACGATAAACTGCGCGACGTGCACCAAGGCTACTGCGAGGCCATTAAGGAGCTGCGCGATAAGATCGAGAATCTTCAGGAGGACCATGTGAACGAGATCAACAACATGAACGTGCAAATCGTCAAGATGAAGGCGACCCACGAGGAGGCGATGCAACAGATGGAAAACAATTACGAGGCCAAGCTGATTGTGGAGTACAACAAGTACCAGGCGTTCGAGGAACGTACCAATGCCATGCGAGAGAGTTACGAGACGCAACTGAAGAATCTTGAGAGACGTGACGCGGAAGAGCTACGGAGGACCGTGACGAGATACGAAGCTTTGCTGCACGAGAGGAAGGTGCAATTGGAGGAAGCGGCCGACGAGATGGCGCACAAGGGGCGCGTTCACGAGCGTCTGATGGCGCAGATAGAGGACGACGCGGATCGTGAGATTCTCGAGACACGTACGAGGCACGAGAACCTCCTGTACGAGGAGAGGCAGATCAATTTGAAGCTGAAGGGGGAGGCCGGGGTGATGCGAAACAAATTCATGGCCAGCCAGAGGGACGTGGACGATCTCAAGAGGCAGGTGCATCGGGTGCAGGGCGAATACGCGCAGTTCCACAAGAATATACAGGATCTCGAGAAGCAGATAGCGGATCTGAAGAAGGAGATCGCCGAGAGGGACACCACTATTCAGAGCAAGGAGCAACAGATATACGATATGAAGCAAACGAATCAGGAGTTGGAGAAGTTCAAGTTCGTGCTGAACTATAAGATTGACGAGCTGAAGAGCCAGATAGAGCCGAGGGATCGGGAGATACAGGAGTTGAAGGATAATATTCGGAACACGGAGGAGGAGCTCACGAGTCTTCGCAAGACTAATGAAAATTTGGGGCTGGAGCTGCGCGAAGCGCGGGAGCAGTCGCGCGCCGCGCGCCAAGAGATCGAGCGCGAGATGCACAGAAACAAGGGGTGTCGGCAGACGTTGCGAAAAATTCGCGTCGACATTCTCGACGCTTCGGGACTCGTACAGGAGCCGAACGCCCTGAAAACGGCGGTGATCAATTTATATCACAAATACAGCGCGGACGAGGAGCTTCTGCAGAGCCACAAAGCGGATGTCGATGCGCAGTGCGAGTTCATCAGGCAGAGGGATCATCTGGAGAAGATCATCGCGTCTCTAAAAAAGCAGGTATTCCAGGACAGGTCTGTCGGCGACAAAGATTTGAAAATGACGGAGAACAGCATGCTCATTGTGGAATTGAACGCGCTGAGGGAAGAGTTGAAGGAGGCGCGACAACACATTCTGCATATGGAGAGTCTGTTGGGTCTAACGCAAAAAAACGTGCGGCCCGCGGAAGCGAGAAAAGTCTTGGAGCAAGCGTATCGTGGATACAAGGAACTGGAGGAGAAATATACGCAGCAAATGCAGGAATATCAGCAAATTATTCTAGCACTGAAGGAAGATATCAAACAATTATTAAGCAAAGTTCCTTGCGAAGAGACGGAGGGAGAAAAGATATCGGCTTGAACAAATTTGTGACATTTAATTGTTTTCTTAGAGATTTTCGAGTAATGTAAAGTTTTCAATGCAGATTAAATGTGCTTCAGCATGTCTCTTACGTTTAGTAAAAATAATTTTGTATGTATACGTATACATATGTTTAAATTGTAATTGTATATACGTATGTATATTTATTTAGAGAAATAAGAGCGCTATATTCATAAGATATATTATTTCATTATAGATAGTAAAACGAATCCCACCTTAAGACTTGTATAAAAATAAAAAAAAAGTGGAACAAAAGAATGTATTTTTGGTTCTTTACGAATGTTACTAGAAACATTATCATTTGTCGCGTGCTTGCGACACTCGCCGTAGCTGCTAAATATACCCATCACTTAATCTAAATATTCCTCTCAAAGACTAAAAACATCAACAAAATAAGATTAACGTAGCGTTGCGCGTTCACCGACTCATTATTCTGCGAAACAAACGTCTTAACTTAGAGGACGAACGGAATGATGGCTTTGCGGTTTTTCGGATAGTGCGAGAATTCCTTCTTGTACGCCCTGTGCTTGCCCAGTGCCCACATGGTCATTTGATATGCACCCGCGAGCATGAACAGACCAGCTGCAAATTAAAACATACGAATCATCGTACGGCAACTTCATTTGCATACATATGTTAAAGGTCAAACGTTCGAGGTTTCAGTTTCGCACCTGGAAGACACGATGTCATCACGGTGAAGCCGATCCAACTGCCGATCTCGTACGTGTAATTGGGACAGGAGACCAAGTTGAAGAGCATGGTGAGGGGATTGCCGGTCGGCATCGGGACCTTCCTGACCGTGGTGCCCGGTGGTCTCAAATTCTTCAGCGCCAAATGGATACTGAGATTGCCCAGCTCGCACAGCGCGAATATCGCTGCTCCGACGCAGGCCTGTCCCGCGCAGGGAGCCGTGTACAATGGATGATTCGTGTGATACGCCACGTACATAGCGAAGAGCCAGTAATAGGAGCAATTCTTGAACAAATTACGCAACGGCATTGTTGCGTGGCTGAAACGGTGGACAAATACAGTCTCCAAGAGACGCTTCGCATAGTGCACCGTCCAGGCGACTGCCGCCCAACTAAAGCAGAAAAAGAGAAAGAAACGATTTCTTACGTACAGTACCACAGGAGAAACGCCTGTATTACAAATATAGAGCATAATTGAAGCATCGTACAATTGACTGAGCGACTCACTTAGCTACATAGTGAAAATTATTGGTGTCCACGTGTCCGTAGAACAGCCAGGGACGCTGATACAGCCAGAGATATACTAGCAGAGGTCCCGCATACTCCACCAGGAATACAGTCCTCCAACCGATCTGAGGACCGAGATCCTTGTAGTACAACTTCCCGCCCGCCTTCAGCGACAGGGATTTGATCGTCTCCGAGTCGGACAGTGCCTTCCCCTTAGGTTCTACCTTCAGACATTGCCTCTGAACGTACGGTGCCTTCCACGTCTCGTACAACTGCTGTTTCACCTCGCCTATCGTGGTGCTCGGATTCACCTACGATAAAAACGCAACGACGTGACAAAGTTCACTCGCTTCGTACGCCTTACGTGGATCACACGTCGGATCTCCATTTATTCTAATCGAACTCGAAAGCGAACGTCCCGGCTTCGCCGTCGCGCCAGGACGTCACTCGTTAACCGTCGCCACTCACGTTCACGTTGGCTATCAGCTTCGAGGATTTCGCCGACACGATCTCGATCTGGAAGAGAAAGCAAAAAAAAAGGAGGATAAGTACGCGAGCACGCACGGCGCCGCTTTCGCGCGACGACGATTTCCCGGCGAGTCCTCACCTCCATCGTCGTTAATGCGGTCGACTCGCGCAGCGTGGAGCAGCGTAGAGGACACCGTCCGACACACTGCCGTCCTGCCGCGCACTACCGCGAGTCGAGCACCTCCTCGTCGCCGTCCGTTCCGGTTCCGCTCCGTCGCTACTCCCGGCCAGACCTCCCAGATGAAAGCCGCTACAGCCACCGTGGCCGATGGTGGGGGGCCGCCGAGCGCCTCGGCTGTCCTCGGAGAGCAGAGTGCGACAGAGCCATGCTCTGTCTCACTCTCTCGCACGCTGTG